CATAGGGAATTGGTTTAACTAGCCAAGAAGTAGGGTTTTTTTAATCTGTCTGTCTTGTTGGTTTCATGGATGTCTAAAAATATTGCATGAGACAACTAGCTTCAAATTGGGAGGATGTTTCTGTCCAAGAGAAATAGAATAAATATCCTGCATATGTTGTTTTTTATTTTCCCCCAAGTAAACATTAAGGCTCAGGATATCATAGGGAATTGGTTTAACTAGCCAAGAAGTAGGGTTTTTTTAATCTGTCTGTCTTGTTGGTTTCATCTTTAAAATCATAGGGAATTGGTTTAACTAGCCAAGAAGTAGGTTTTTTTTAATCTGTCCGTCTTGTTGGTTTCTTTTTTTCTTTAAAGGATAGATGTTTTGGAAAATCTGCCTTGAAGAATTTAGGTAGATAATTTGTCTTATTTTTTTTGTCACAAGTGAGATGGAGGACAGAGTGATTTTTTCCTCCCACCTATAGAAAACCTTTATGATTACATTAATTTGCTATATAGAATCACAGCCTCACCCTATGCTTTAATTTCCACACATGGATATTCTGAGAATTGTGTTTCTTTTTCTTCGTTATCTGCCCTATTTTTACTGCAGATTTGGGTAAATCAGGTTCTTGCTCACATCTTAGTGTCTGGAAGTTAGGAAGGTTGAAATTTTTTGATAAAACTATTTTTGCATTGGACAGTGTTTGTGTCTTTTCCATTCCTCTCCATTTTTGAGTTTTTTATTGCTTACTTGTGTGCAGAGCCTACAAGTGACTTTAGGAAGCAATAAAAAAAATTCAGTATCTCAGTATGGCTTCACCAAAAATAGGGCTGTGTCATGTCTCTCCACTAATTTCATTCACTATTGGGAATGAGATGAGATCCAGAGATGCTTCATAAATTTTATGCTGCTACTTCTTTTACTGGGTAATAGCTTAAATATTAGTAGGCTTTTAAAAATAACTGCTAAGAAGATCCAATCTGGGGGCATGTTGCAAAAATATAACCAAATTGTTCATTTGCACAGACAATGTAAAATCAATGAGAATAGGCTGAGAATATAATGTGTGTGTATATATATATATCTCAAGACTGCTCACACCAGCTCTTAACTGAGCCAGGCAGCTGTGCTCATCCCATGATGGATTGGTCCAAACCTCATAGAAAATCAATCACATTGTTCAGATTAGCAAGGTGTCCTGAATTAAAGATGAAACAAGTAAGGACTTCAGGATGTTGGGTCATTGAGGAGCTCAGTGCCCTGGGAGGTGGAGAGCCATTCTGAGTCCCTTCCCAGAGCCTGAGGAAACAGGTCTGTGAGCGGATGTGCTGCAGGGAAATAAATCACACCAGTGTCACTGGGGGAGTTAAAAATGAGTCTTTTGCTGCTTTGGCTCCAGGAGCTCAGCTGGTTTCTGAGCTGCAAGCACTCATCCAGGACCAGAATCCTTTGTGCATCCATTGATGCCATAGTCATAAAGTTCTCTTTATGAAGCTCTCCAGCTTTTCTTCAGACAAGAGGAGAGGACTAGACTGTTCATACCTGTGACTGTGCTGGAGCAGATGGTGTTGCTGCCCCACAGTCATGTCACACCTCTGTGTCTCTGTGCTGGGACAATGCAGGACTGGTGGAAAGTGACTGACAATCCAAAGCTTGTAAGGTGGTCTTGCAGCTGCTGAAGTTTTTGGTTGTGTCTCCTGTACAAAAATAAGGCTTGTAAAATGTGAGTACTGCCTTGTATATCAGAGCCCTGTCTGTACAGGGGGCAGCTACATGTGAGGAGAGAGTTGTCTACTGGAGATGACCTCTCTGGTGGGCGACATTCCTGATGTAGGATGGGCTTGTGCTTCTGTGTGATAGTAATTGAGAGTGATATGCTTCTGATTGTGTTTGTAAGAATGAGTAAGCCAAGTGAAGTGCTCTCTGCCCCATCAGGAATGGGGTGGGGATACTTGGAGTGAGCTCCTGCACAGCTGCAGGAATCAGGGTGCTGGTTGCTTGAAGCCTTGGGTCTGCAGGAGGGGAGGATAAGGGCTTGGACTGTCCAGGTTAACAGCACTGTTTTTAGGGATTGGAGCCTGCAGATCAAAGCTGGTTGTCACACTGGCAGATTGGTGTTCCTCGATCAGGCTGTGGTGCCACACAGTGAGTATCCATGTTGTGTCATAGTCCAGGTGGAGAGGGTGTCTTGGCAGGGATGTAACCCTCAGGTGTGTGGGCAGAGGGGTGAAGCAGCAAGTGGAAAGGGCTCCAGAGCTACAGCCAGCAACAGGCCCTTCATGGCCCTGGACACTGCTGGTATGTCCCACCATGTGTTCCTGGTGTGACCTGAGGACACAACCACACAGAGCTCTGGGGATATAGGTGGGAGCTGACAGGTTTATCACAGCAATGGCATTTAAAGGTGCTTTGTCACCCACCCAGCACCCTGACATCTCCAACTTCTTGAGATGGAGCTTTTCAGTACTCTGGGAAGTGGCTGCATGATTTCTGAGATGAGATTCCTGGAGTCTCAGGTACTAAATGTTGTCTGTTTCTATATCTGTAAATCAGACTTCTAAGCTGTTTCCTTATGTTTTCTCATCAATAAAATCAGGGATAATTACATCTTGCCTATCTTCAGGGGTGTCACGAGGTTTAATTACTTTTGAGGTGCTTTGTAATTACCTTGGGTAGCTGACTAGAAGCACAGACTATGCTCAGTATTTCTTTTATGTTTTAGTCCTCCCAGCTACCTTCCTTTCTCCTCAGCACAAGGCTTTGAGGATGTGTTTGCTATAATAGAAACCTTTTTTACTTAACAACAGACAACCAAGGCAATTAAAACAGTCAGAAGTGATTAATGTGATTTCACTGGGTGAAAGCTAAAGCAGCTCGCAATTAAATAATGGCAATCCTTGTGCTATCTCAGGGCAACAGATGGGGAATGATTTAAAAACACTATTGGATCAGACACTTCACAACAGGGGCAGATTGGTAACAGTGTGTCAGAGCCAGAAATATGCTCCACCTTGAAGGGGTGTGCTGATGAAATGATTAATTGGTGGCAACATGTGACTTAGTTCTGAGCCTGCAATGGCAGACCATCAGCTCCTGGGAACAAATGGACCTGTGATTGGATCGTAATGGGTTTAAGGGCTCTAGGCAATGTGTTCAGAGAGAGGATAAATCTCAGGGAGTGTGCTGGAAGCTGGAATTGGAATGGTGCAGCTTTGCTTCCAGAACCCAAAGGATGTAGAGCTGGAAGTGGTACCTTGCTGGGAGGGCAAGGCACAGGGCTGGGGCAGCTCTGGGGTGATGTCTCCATGGGGTGCAGCACCCAGGAGTGCACCCACAGTTTGCACAAAGACATCACCACCATCTCAGTGATGGTGCAGCCTGTGCTCTGCACCCCTGTGTGCACGATGTGTCGCTCTTCATCTGGCACTTCTGTGCAGATTCATCTTCATAGCAGTAGGAGGAAGGGAAAGAAAGAGATTTCTTTCTGCTTGAGTTGCCCTGCAAATGGTCCTCCTACCAGTATTGCTGTTCTGGTCAGAGCTGTGATGTTTAGCAGCACTGTAAGTTGCCAGTGTTGGTGCCACAGATCTGCAGCCCATTTACTCCAGACACTAGAGAAAGTTGTGCCCAGAGATGCTCATCTCTGACCTGTTTACAGAGCTTTTCAGGAGGGGACTCCCTCTCGCCTTTTGCTCAACATGAGCTCAATTAGTTGAGACAATGAAGCTTTGTGAATTTGGGTTCTCAGGGCTGAAGGGCTGGTGACAGAGGCTGCTGTGTCTCAGCAGCCCTCGCTGTGCAAACGGCTGTGCACTGAAACGGGGGCAGCACTGGGGGGAGGTGTCTCCAGTGATTCTGCAATCATGTATAAATTGTATTTATTTGTAAGTCTTTGTAAGGTTTGGGTGTGCAGCGTGCTGGGGCAGGAGGTGATGAGAGGGTGCTGGTGGCTGTAGAGCTCAGCCTTGTCCTTGTCCTCATCCCTGTGGAGTCAGAGAGGGATGTGAAAGGAGAAACCATTGCATGTGGCTGTTTAATCCCTCTGGGAGCTCCTATCTAAGCAAACCACCCCCAGCCTCTGCTAGCAGCTCAGAATTTATAGTCCGTGAGAAGCTTGTGCTGTCAGGAAAATGAGTTACTTTGAGGCTGGGAGAAGAAATATAAAAGCCAGGTTTCCTTCACCAGCTCTCACCCAGAGAGTACTGCAAAGCTGGTCCTCCCTGAAGCTGCTGAAAGGCCCAGAATTAGAACAGATATTAAATAATGTAAAAGCTTTCATCGAAATGTATTAGATTTCAAAGGGCAGATATTAAAAGGGCATAATGTGCAGCTATTTCTGACTTGCCTCTTAAAGAGAGAAAGGGACTTTGTTTGCAGGAGATAAATGTGACATGAAATAGGTGCTGCAGATATAGCATCAGAGGTTGCAAAGCTCATCCCATTCTTAATCATGCAGTTCAAGCACCTTCTTGATGTGTGCAGCACCTATATAAGAATCCTATGGAGGCAATGACTTCTAATGCTTGTGGGAAGATAGCCAAGGGAGAATGTTAATGTGCTGGTAGAGACTCCATCTCTACTAGACACCAGGTCAATGGACCAAATCTGGGCTGATCCATCTGCAGGGAGAGTTGGATAGATTAGGGATTTGTGCATCCCTAAGTTATCTACTCAGGAGAGCAAAAGGCTGTGGCTGCTGCTTGTGACTGTGGTACTGGCCAGGCTGGTTCATCCTCAGGTTTAATTCCCACAGCATTTATGTCATTTTTATCTGATCCTGACTGCTGCTAAGCACCCTTAATTCCAGCTTGAAGCTGATGGGAGCTAAGAGTGCTGAGACAGCTCCCTAGACCAAGTCCTTGGAAAAGGACACTGGGCTCAGGCACTGAGACAATTCCCTTATCCATGCAGATTAGACACTTGCTACATGCTGTCCTTGTACCCGAGCCACACGTGCTCCAGTGCAAGCTGGGAATCCTGCCCTTCCTCATGGGGGTGTGTTGCTGTCTTTGCAGATGACAGAGGGCAGGCACTGCCAGGTTCATCTCCTCGATGACAGGAACTTGGAGCTGCTGGTTCAGGTACAGACCTCACTCTTTTTGGGTACTGGTAGCACAGTGCCAGATTTCTCTGCTTCTTTTCTTTTGGGGGCTGTTGCATAAGTGATGGTTGAAGGAAAGTTTTATCCCTTACTAGAGAAAGTCAAAGAAGTGGAATAAACAGGCATGCCCAGGTACATGTGTCTTTCCTCACACCTACATTAGCAGGAGGGTTTCCTTGTGCATGGTGAGCAAAACATCTGACATCAGTTTTGCATGAATTTTTTGCTTTCACCAAAATTCATACAGTGTATTAAAGACACTCTTTGTGGTGATGGGTTTTTTGGCATTTAGATGGGAAGAAAAGTCTGTAGTTTTGAGGATGTTTTGCTCCTATAACAGAACCCAAAGCACAAGATCCTCGAATACACAATATTTTCTTAATTGAAAAATCCTTCTTGCTGCAAGTGCAGGAAAGCCTGGGCTGTTGCCTTCTCCCCCAGCAAGAAAAAAAAGTAGTGCTCAGTTCATGCCCTTGAGTTTAATGTCATGGATTAAGTACAGAATTGCCTCTCCATGCTCCACACATCCCACACAGTTCCATAGAGATGCCCCAAGTCTGATGGAGCCACTTCTGTACTGAGTTGTACAACAGGTTTTAACTTGACCACGTGTACTTAAATGTCAGTATGTGCAGAGAAAAGTTTTATTATATATAAAAAGCCTGGACTGAAATGAATTAAATTACTTTTATTCTTTCAATAGCCCAAACTTTTGTCTCGGGAGTTACTGGACCTGGTGGCCTCACACTTCAACTTGAAAGAAAAGGAGTATTTTGGGATAACCTTTATCGATGATACGTAAGTATGTTCATTTATTTTAAACAGCTGTGTGATGATTGCAATGTGAAACCTTCTCTCTGACACTGTGGCAGCTTGGTGTGATGGAAAAATGACTTTCTCTTTCAAAGAAAAAAGATTTTCCTACCTTGTGCTGCTTGGCTGAGGAAAGGGGAAGGCACGAAACAGAAAATATTTGTTAAATGTCTTCTGGGCACAAACCAGAGAATATTTGTAAAATACCTTCCTCATGCTTTCACTTCTGTCTCAAGAGAAAAAACTGATTCAGCAATAATTTTCCATGTGAACACCCTCAGCTTTCCTCCTCTGCACTTTTAGTCACAACAAAAAGGGTTTGCGTTTATTTTCCAAATGAATTGCTCCAATTGCTTTGCACTTGAATCTCAAATGTATTATTGAGTCTTTTAAACCCAAATTTCCCAAGCAGCAGTGAAATATGAGGTTAGTCCTTCCCATAAACTATTTTGCTTTGGCTGGGGCTGGGTGTGATGCTAGGTCCAGGCTCTGGAGCACCACAGGAGATCTGCTTCCATGGCATTAACCCAGAGTCAGCTGGGATAATTGAAATCTCAGCTGGTGTTTAGGCTCATCTGTCAGCGTGGCACTGAAATGCTTCCCCATGTCTGCTGGGTACAGGACTGAAACCCACAGGCAGGATTCTGCTCTCCAGAGCATCTCCAGAGGACTTACCTTGATCTCCCCCAAAAAAGCTGGAGCAGAGCTGCTTAGGGCAATGGGGACATGGAGTTGTGCTCTAATTCAGCCCCTAAATAAACCTCTTCTTGACTAACAGAAATAACATTAGCTCCTGCTACTTTCTGTTGCTGCTTTTTGTGGAGTCCTGGATGGAAACCTTCACCTACAGATGATGTCAGAGCTGTGTTTGGGACCACCCTGCTGAGGAAGATCCCATATGCAGGACTGGCCTTGGGATCAGGGCTGGTGTTCCTGGAGGTGGTGGGAGCAGCTCACTCTGGGTCCCTGACCCCACCACTGTGTTACATTTACCAACCACTCTCATCCTGGGCTATCCCTAGAATATTTTTGCCATATGGTTGTCCTTTCACGTGTTGGAAAACACTTTTTTGCAGCTCTTCTGTAAATCCCTTGAGGATACCGTTTGCACTTGGTTTATTTTTTCCCCCAGAAGAGCTGCCATGAAATTCTTCTGGAGGTTTTTGGTTGCTGGCACTCTCTCTTGGTGAGCTTTAAAGTGCTGCCAGGGGATTACCTAAAAGCTGTTGGCTTCCCCAGAAACACCAGTGGGATTCCAAGCCTGCTGTGGGTGTATGGAGCAGGGCTGGGTGCTTGGAGGGAGTAGTGGCCTCTGGAGGGCACCCATGGCCCAGGCTGTTGGGGCAGCCACAGACATCTCTGCTCCCCATTGGCCAAAGGCTCCTCAGGGTTTGAATCATATACTGCTTTGGGTTGGAAGGGACCTTAAAGATACCTTCCATCCCCTGCCATGGGCAGGGACACCTTCCACTAGCCCAGGTTGCTCGAAGCCCCATCCAACCTGGCATTGAACACTTCCAGGAATGGGGCAGCCACACTTTTCTGGACAGCCTGCTTTGAGGGGGTTTGGTTTTCTTTCTAGCTTCCTTCCCACTTCAGTCAGAGAAGTCTCTGCAGAGAGAACTGCCTCGTTTAAGGAGTGTGCCTGCAAGAAACCTCTCTGCTCTGAAAATGGGCATTCATGTCACTCTGGGGCTGGGGCAGAACAGAAGGAGTTGGGGATGCAGCCACAGAGAGGAGCTGTCCCTGTGCAGCAGAAGAGATGAGACTCATTTCTGCTGCAGGCAAACATCCAACCCCTGCTACGGATCACATCCTCTGCCTAGATAGGAGAAGTCCATCCAAGTGTCCCCATGTATAGCAAAGAAGGGTATTTCAATAACATTGAGGTTTTCCGGGTGCCATGCTGTGACTTCTGTGCTGCAGCTGAAAATACAACTGCAAAGAGTGTTCTTGAATGTCCTGAACTGTCTGAAAATCTGCAAGTTAGGAAAAAAATAAAAGGATATAATTTGATGAGTTGTTTCCCTGCCTCACAGTTGAATCTTGAACCTTTTATAGTAACACTTGGAATAAACACGAGAACTGAAAAGACCTCATTTCTGTATTTCCCATCCCAGTTTTAACCTTCTCCCCACCTGTTTCCACAGAGGTCAGAGTGTCTGGCTGCAGCTGGATCACCGTGTCCTGGACCATGACTTACCCAAGAAACCAGGGCCGGCAACTTTGTACTTTGCTGTTAGGTGAGTAATTGTTTCCACCAAGAAAACATTACCACTTGGGTTTATTTATCACTAGGGGGGTTTGTTTAAAAGAGCTGATCAAGGCTTTGATAAAGGAAATAAATGTCAAAGTGATGTGCTATTTTCAGAAGGAGATTAGGCCCTGGATAACTGCTGGTCTCTTTTATATATAACTATGAAATAAAGTAGGTTTGAACCTGATGCTTTTTAAAGTGTTACTAGGATATTATTCCTAGGGTGTGTTTTATAGGGTTTTGGCTTTTTTTTGGTTTAAAACCTCATATTTTGCATATCTTCTTTGCTTGACTTGTCTTGAAGTGTGCTAAATTGTAAGACAGTTTATTTAAACAATCATACTTAGTTTTTTCCTTCTGTTTACTTAAGGTTTGTCTGTACTTGAAAGGGATTGCTGATGGCTGCTTTGCTCATACAGCTTAAGCCAGTCCCCAGGAGAGAATAAAACCCCTGGCAAAATGATGATTTTGGCCAATGTAATTGCATTACTTTGCTGGCAAAGCTCTGCTGGTTAAGGGCCTGAAAAAAACCCATGTCCACAAGACAGAGCTGTGCTGGCAGAAAAGACTAAGCATCATATTCTTACTATTGCTGGAGTTTTTGTTTCCCTTACAGTCTATGAGGAAAATGAGAGCAGACTGACCTCATTTGCTTTTCAGATCTTGGTAAATTTATGCCTTGTGTGATTAATTATCTGAAGCTCTTCCAAGGCAGAGCCTCTTGTGTAGCTGGGTCGGTTGTCACCGTTGCTTCACCACATCCCCCACACCCTGGTCATCGAGGGAACAGAGCAAACAAGAGGCACTTTGTTTTGGCTAAATGTGTGCTGATTTGTGATGGTGTTCAGAGCTCAGTTTCCCTTCCCCACTTTTTACAGAAAGAAAAAAATCCATTTTAAATGGGATGATGGGGCTCTTCACTATATTCACTGTGTGTTTAGCCTTCCAGATCTTCATCAAAGCCTGTAACAGCCCAAGAAAGCTCTGAAGGCAATCCTATGACCTGAGCATTTCTTTGGTTGGGATCCTGTTGGTTCATGATGTTCATGTTGGTCCTCTCTGTTGTAAGATGGTCCTCAACAGGACAGGGTGTACAGAGACTGGGACAAGAGTTAATGTGTGAGGAGTGGGTTTGGAGACATCAACTTCTAGAAGCTATTTTTAAGCCTGACTACTCCAGATTCGTGAGATCCAAAACAAGGTACCAAGGAGGTGGACAGTGAGTGAGATGCAGAGCAGGAGGAGGAGGATACAGAAATAATTAGCAATACAGCAACTGTCTGATTTGTAGAAAATAGATATTCCAGCAGAAAAGACACTTCAAAACCTGCAGCTCTCTACTTTGGTAAACTCTTTGGTTAAGTAAACAACTCCAGGCCTTTGCTACATGACACATGCCCTAGGTGGTTAGTTCAGACACTTATCTTGTGTGAACACATTTACCTTGTCATAGCCTATTCCTTAATTCAACTCCCATGAGAGCAGCTGAAAATACAGTTAGAGCTGTTGAAAAGTGTGCTTGGGCGTGGGGTGAATGGCACAGAGGGGACAGGCAGAGGGCCCAGTGCTTGATGCTCATTCCCTGGGCTGGACAGGCTCCAGCCCTGCATGGTGTGATAGCTGTGGGTGCTGCAGCAGGGACAGGGTGGCCCTTGGGCTGGGTGAGCTCTCCTGCACCATCCATTCCTTCTGATTGCTTGAAACAGGCTCAGCCATGAATAAATACAGCTTCAGTGTCACTTCCATTTGAGATGCAAGACTAATGAGGCAGGGCACTGAGCTGCTGTTCTCCTAACCAGAGGCAAATGTGCTGCAGCATCAGTTCCCAGTGTCTTTTGACACTGTACTGGACAGTTTCCAGTAATATTTACTGGAAATGGGGGAATCCCCAGACTCCTGATCTTGCCTCTCCTTTTGTCATCACTCCTCATCCTTGGGCTTTTGCAGTTCAATAAGGAAACACATGATAATCCTTTAAGATTTTTAATTACTGTCAGCTGGCATCAACTCAATCCAGTCACCTAAGTTTTCCTATGGTACACACAGCTGACTGGCTCTATAATGCAGATTTAGGACTTCTAGAAGTGTCACTCTAGTTTCAAGGATGCTGACAGCAGTGGAAATAAAAGCAGAATGAACACTTCTTGGTGTTCTCAAACATGTCTGTCATACCTTGAGCATCCTTATCTCTGTGGTCCAGTGTTACCCATCTGTACTGGGGTGATAAGAGTGTACAGCTTGTACCATGGAGAAGATAGATCACAGGGACAGGGCTGGGGCAGGGGATATGCCCCCACCCAGTGTCCTCTACCTCAATCTATAGATCCTGCTCCTCCCTAAATTCAGTCTCCTGCTTTATACCAGTAGTGACTGGGAGCTGCCTCTCTCCAGAGCCAGGGGTACTGTCCTGCTTCTGAGGGTAATTAAACCATGTCTGACTCTGGTTGAAAGAATGTGCAAGTGCAAATGAGGTCCTTAGTTGATGAAAATAACCTTTCTGGTGCAGTGGAGGGAGGAAGGCATTAGCAGGCTGAGGAAGGTCCATGCTAAGAAGGACTGGTCTGGCAGCAGGTTGGGAAAGAACAAAGAGTGAGGGTCCTGTTCTCTGCTCTGCATTTATGGAAACACTCACTTGTATTTAAAGTAAACTTTAGCAAAGTTGCTGAAAAAAAGAATTATATCAGGTGTGATCAAGAGAGGGTAGAAATACCTGTGGCTCCTAGGGAAAGGTGAGTCATGGAAATGTAAAATAGCATTTCAGCTGTCTGGGGCAGGCTGCTGGGCTCAGGTCTGACCCTTGGACAGGCTGCATGCCTCTAAAGTGGGTAAATTATCTGCAGAGGCATTCTGGAAAGTGCTTTAAATTAATTTGATGCAACATGCTGTAGGAATGTGAAATATTACAATTACTATTTAATGTGTCACTTGTCTCAAGTCACAACATAAACACTGCTAATGTTCCTAACACATGTGACAGGCCCCAGCTTTACTGCCCCTACCACACACCCCATGCTGCTGCTGTGGTCTTCTTCCAGTGTCAGGCAAATCCTTCATGCCAAGAGATCAGTGGCTGAAGCTTGAGGCTGTGAGGAGCCTTAGGAGCACCAGAGAGCTGCAGGAGGGATTGGCTTGGTTCTGATACACACAGTGGGCTGTGTGTCCTATGTTGGCCATCCAACCCTCCTGCTCTTGAGACACAGAGAAGCCCTGGGGTGATCTGCATTGCTGGGGCAGTGGTGGTGGTGACTCAAGTTTTTGTTTGGCTGGAAAAAAGGTTTATCTTCTGCCTAGCATTGTGTGGGTGTCTGGACCCAATGCATTCAGCCTGCATAAGGAGCTGAAGGACAGGTATCCTGCTTTCACATCCAGCTAAAGGAGGATTGACAGGACCACGCTCACACCAATTTGTCTCTCTTTAAACTGACTTGGCAGTTCCACACTCCTCAAATTATAGATGTGTTTTCTCTGCAGCGTTTAATGCATCTCAGCACTGTTTGGTTTGATGTCCTGTGTGAGTCAGAGAAGTGCACAGACAGGTTGTGTGCAATTTTGCCAGCAGCATACGTGATGTTTGGTGTAGCTCTACAACATACTGGGGACCCATTCGCCAACCTTAGCTGGGCCAGAGTAAGCAGTAATGGGATCACTTTGCTATGTTCTTCTGTGATGCATCTGTGGCTCTGGGAAGAGGAAGCCAGGGCTGGGAGGAAGGCAGCAAGTGCCTATAATGCTTCCAGCCCTTCCATGTAAACTCCTGGTTTGGGGGCTCCTATTGCTATTAGGATGGATGTGGCTGATGGGATTAAGCTGATCCAAAAGTGTACCTTGTGGTTTTTTGCTTGTCTCTGTTTGCTTGGAGCAAAGTTCATGGCTTTCATTACCACCTCTGCTCTCTCTTTCTGGGAGGAAGGTGGTCCACCAGCCCCTGTCCTCCAGCCAAGTGCTGGGCCAGCTTCCTCACCTGCAACTTGCTTTTTGGTGTCACATTTTCTACTGCTGTGACTTTATCTGCATAGGAGGGGGTAGGCTTTGCTCCTTTCATTTCATTTGAAAAGTCATCAGATATCTAGGATCTATTGAACCAGCAGTTGTGGTTCCCTGTGTCCTGTCAGCCTGTGATTTTCTGTTTCTTCCCTCCTAATAGGCAGGAAATGAAGTGCAGTAGCTCATAGTTCCTTTATGCTGTTTTATTGCTAGAGAACAAAACACTGAGGAAATAAAATGACTTGGGAGGAAGATGAAACCTATTCAAGAGAGTAACTGGTTTTTTGGTTTGCTTTTTTTAATTTTCAGGTTCTACATTGAAAGCATTTCCTTTCTCAAGGACAAAACTACAGTCGAGCTGTTCTTTCTGAATGCCAAGTCATGTGTACACCAGGTAAGGCTCAGCATCTTTCAGAACTCCTCGTTGTGTATCTTCTTTTCATTGCTGCACCACCATCTACACTTGGTAGGAGCTGTGTCTGATTTCTACTTTTTATTGAAGCATTTTCTAAGGAGCATGCCATGCCCCTACAGATGCAGCTCAGTCAGCTTTACCCTGATGTTTTGGGGGTTAATCTCAGACTCTGGTGTGGGTTTTTTCACTCATGGTTCAATCAGTCTAAGGGGGTTATCTGGTTCTTACAAGCTTTCCTTGGAAAACAATCCTGTATCACTAGCTGGTGGTGGAACTCAGAGTAGCCAGCCAAAGTTTTCACCTTGCTTGAGATTTTATAGGATTCTTATTCAGTATCCAGTATTCATTATTTTATGGTGGGTTCAAAAGCCTGATGTCAAAGTGGTTAATGGCAAAGTTGTGACTGTGCTTTGTACAGCAATTGCTTTCTGGAAGAGTGGAGGAAATTGGTGTCTTTTTACAACATGCTAAAGTTTGAAATATAGTCAAAGAACTTGGGGCCTCACTGGTTAAGGTTATTAAAAAGCAAATATCCATTTGACAGATCTTGCACTTAAAATGAAGGGTCTTGGCAATTCAGAGCCATCCTTAAACTGCTCCTTAACTGGAGCAGTTTAACTAGACAGGTAGCATGAATAATTTTGGAACTGGAAAATAGATCCGGTTTGGGGATGAAATTAAAAAAATGCCACACTATTGAAACAAACACTAGTCAATTCTAGAACATTTGGGTGCAAGTATATGTGTTTATGTGTATGCATAAAGCATAGGAGAAAGCGAGGGAGAAGAGAAGCATAAAGAAGAATTGAAAAAAATCAAACATTTGAAAGCAGGCTGGCTCATATTTCCCCCCTTGGCTTGCAAGGTGTGTACTCTAATTGTAGCAGCCCAAAGTGTGGCTTCCCTGTTCCTGCAAGCAAAACTGCCAGAAGCAGAGAGGGTTTTCTGTTGTGTCCAGTTTCTGTGGGCAGCAGAGGGATGAGGAGGAGCATTTCCTCCTGAGAGAAGGATCTCTGTGGGCAGCACCAGTAAGCATGTA